CCAACTTGGTCACATTGAATAAACCTCCTTTATTCATATATATTTACTATGACTGGTCTCTAACTGGTTTATTGGGACCAGGTGGCTGAGCCTTGCCAGCTAGGGCTGCAGAAATCCAGGTTTACATGATAAAAACTTCAGTTATAGCCACGAGAGGTTTCTTTAGGGACACCATTGAGAAGTCACAGAGAAAGAAAAAAATGAAACCATTGAACCAAATTGCTTTGCTCCCCTTGCTGTGACCAGAGGGGAAATGACCTGAGAAGTTGAGTAACTTGTCCAAGTCCATAGAGAAAATTACTGATTAACAGGGGACTCATGAGAAAACAAAACAAAGCAACAAACCTACTAGCAACTTAGGGTCACTGGTGGGAGCTGGGGCTAGGACAGAAACTGGGACAGCCAAGGCTCTTGTGCCCACGCACTGGCTGCCTAATACTGAAGTCTCCTCATCGGTAACTACAGAGGAAAAGAAATGAGCACTGGCCGGGCGGTGGTGGTGCACACTTTTAATCCCAGCACGCGGGAGGCAGAGGCAGGCGGATCTCTGTGGGTTTGAGATCAGCCTGGTCTACAAGAGCTAGTTCCAGGACAGGCTCCAAAGCCAGAGAGAAACCCTGTCTCGAGAAACAAACAAACAAACAACAACAACAACAAAAAGAAACAAGCACTGGTTAGATAGACTTTTTTTGAGGGGTCACATATGTGCGATGGAACAGCTTGTGAGAGTTGGTTTCTTTCCTTCTACCATGTGGGTCCTGGGGTATGAGCTCAGGTCATCAGGCTTAGTTGCAAGAGCCTTTACCCACTAAGCCATTTCACTGCTCACGTCCCTACCCTTCAGTCCACTTTTAAAATAACATAGAAAAAGTACATGTTGTAGGTTGGGATGTAGCTCAGCTGGCAGAGTACCTATCCAGCATGCAGAAGGCCCTGGGTTTGATCCCTAGCACCGAATAAATCAGGCATGATAGTAGACACAAGCAATCCTAGCATGTGGGAGGTGGAAGCTGGAGGATTAGAAATTCACCATCAGTTATAAAGCATGTTCAAGGCCAGCCTGGGCTACTGTTCCGTTGGGACTTCCAGCTCGCTCCTTTGAAAACCTCCATTTCTCTCTCTCCAAACCCCGCTCTCTTGGTGAATCTCCAAGACAGCCAAACGCCCAGTTCTGCATTCTTGGAGGCAGGGGTGTCGGTCCAATCCCTGCCTAAGGTGTTATAATTGGGTGCAAACCCAGCTTGTGGTCATCACCACCCACACCCACCCCCTCACCCTCCCCAGAGGGTATTTAAGCTCCCTCCCTTAGATTGGCCATGTGATTTTTCCTGCCCCTTCTCCCACCTCCATCTCTGGGGGCTGGAGGAATCACCCAGGAGTTGCTTTGCTCAGAATAAACCTAGTCTTTTACTTTTTAATTTGGCTTGATCTGGCTTACTGTGCCGGCGGAGAAACCTACTATCAGGGTACAGAAAACCTATTAGTTTCATGAGACCCTGTCTCAAAAACAACCATTTTAATAACAGAGTCTGAGAACTTTCTGTGTGCCAGAAAGGTTTGGTGCCTCCTGGGGTAAGTCTATTGTACTTTGAAGGCTTTGGTTTTCAAAACTCCTCTCAGGCTGGGTATGCAGTTTAGTGTAGATTATTCAACCAGCCTGTGTAAGTCCTTGGGTTCTATTCCTACCTCCAAGAAAAGGTAAATCTAGAAAATGATTTCTCTTTTTCTTATGGGCTTCCCCCAGCCAGAAGGAGCAGCTCCCAATCCCAGCTGACACAGTAGGATTGAGCATCCCTCTCTTGCCCTTCCCCCCAATCCAGACACTCAGGTTTCTTCGAGAGCAGTGTCTTCCAACTCCTGACCAACAGTCATTGATCCCCAGTTGGGCAGGGCCCCAGGCATTCGTCTGACTGCCCCAGGATCAGAAACTGCCTGATGTGGGTTTGAATCCTGGGTGAGGTCACTCCGTGAATGATAAAGTCTCACAGATGTCAGGAGTCCTGAAGTCAAAGCTCCAAGGTGCTATTTAGAAACTGTGTGGCGGGAAGGACCTGAGTTCAAATCCCCAGAACCCAAGTCTACCATCCTACTGCAGGATAGGAGGCAGAGACAAGAGAACCCTCGATAGTTCTGTTTGGCTAGTGGCAAACAAAAAGAGAGACCTTGTCTCAAGGAAAATGGGGATAAAAACAGAAGCCAGATGACTCAGCATGTGAGAAGCCTTTTGACCTGAGTTCCATCCAGGACCCACAACATGGAAGGAGATAATCAACTTCGGGAAAGATGGCCCGACTTCCACATGCATACCCTGGCACATATGTACATATTCAAATAAATAAACGCATGTAAATAAAAATATTTAAAACCTAACTCTCATAAAGATTATGGTTAAGGTGTAAAGAATAAAGACATTTGAGACTTTTTGTTTGTTTGTTTGATTCAAGACAGGTCTCTCTCTCTCTGTAGCAGACTAGGCTGGCCTTAAACTCAGAAATCCAACTGCCTCTGCTGGAATTAAAACAAAGCCATTGGCTACCACACCTGGCAAGAATGAAGACAAGATGAGTGTGCACACAAGGACCTTGCACAGAAAGTTCATGCACAGAAAGTGTTGTGCAAGGGCTTACAACTATGCTTCACCTTTTTTTTTTTTTTTTGAGATGGGGCCTCCTGTACCAAGTAGCTCAGAGTGATCTTGAACTTTGACCTTCCAGATCCTGCATCTTTCACCTCCCAAGTGTTGGGATTGTGGATACACACAGTTTATGCCACCCTGGGGGAAGGAACCAAAGCATCCCCTAAGTAGGGGACCACATTTCTAGCCACTTCTTTACATTTGAGGACTAGGGTATCTCTATCTCTGTAATGGTCTAATACCAGCATCCAACAAAGCCAGGGAGGGTTCCCTGAGTCTGCTCAGCTGGAAGGGTTCCATCAGTGACAATGACTTTAAGGAGCTTGTGGACAGCAGAAAGAGGAACCTGAGGCTCAGGTAGCCTCCTGAGTACCACAACCGGCTGAGGTTACCATGGCAGCACTGGCTTCTCTACACAGAGCACTCTACAGTTTGCGAGGCACTTGCATATCTACAGGCTCGATACCACATGAAGGGTTCAGTCCTTCTTTTACAAATGGTGGAACCCGGAAGCTGACACAGCTCTCTGCAGGGCCAGCCTCAATGGGGGCTTCTCAGTCCACCAGGAGAGCATTCCGAATGCAAATGGATGCAGAATGTAAACAGAAGAGGCTTGATTCCAAGCCAAGAAGCAGCAAACCAGGATACAACCCTCACCCCCCCCCCACCCCAGGAATCTGTGGAGACCACATCCTCAGCTCTGACCCCACCCAGGAAGTCTCTTGAAGAAGTTGACTAGGGATGCCCTGGGGCCACCACTGAGCCTGAATGGTACTTTAAAGAGCCAACACATCTTACCAGCTGGGGGCTTGGGTACAGGTCTCCTCCTCCAGGGAGGAAGGAATCAAGGTGGGGAGGTGCCCAGCTGGTGTGTGAAGGGGCAGAGATGGGGCGGGGCTGGGGCTGGTGTCCAGGACTCCTCTGGGAGCTGCAGTGCAGATGTCTGTATGGTCTCTGGCAGCTCTCCAGTGCTGCAGTCCCCCCACTCCCAGCCCCACCCCCAACCCCAGCTTCTCCATTCTCAGGGCAAGTCCATATTCTGTCCATCAACAGCTGCATTCCCCTGCCCAGACACAGCAAACTGGTTCAGTGTCCCAGCAGAGGGAGGCTCATGAACAAAAGGACAGGAAGTAAAGGGACATGGTGAGCGACAGTCACAGCTGCAAGGGGATGAAGACCTTCCCTCCATGCCCAGCCACACCCAACTCCCAAATCTGAGAGCAGTTGAATTGGGCGGTGGTGGTGGGGGAGCACCGGAAGTAGCAACCACCTCAGCAGACTGCTATGGGCCACAAGGGTCCAGAGAGAAAAAGAGACCCATCCAAGGGCCCCAGGCAAGCTGCCGCCCATGGACATAAGGAAGAGTTGCCCAGGGTCTTCTGCAAAGCTCCGGGCCGAAATGGTTGCAGATGGGGCAAGAAAGGCTTCGAAGTCAAGCTATCTTGTCTGGGGGTGGGGACAGCAGCTCAAGATGTGATCTGGGCAGGAGAGGAGGAGGAAAGGAGGGCAGATCCTCGGGGGACACCCGGAGCTCTTATAAACCCAGGAGCCATATGCCCAAATTTGGAAGTGTCTGGGAAGACCCACCAGAGTTTAGACAAAAGGACAGGGAGGGAAGGAGGAAGCAGAGGCCAGATTCACTCTCCTAAAGGAGCTTTTCACCGCCCACACCTGTACTGGCAGCCAGAGCAACCCACTTTCACAGTGACTGTTTACCCAGCAAGAGGGGAGAAGGAGGCTCAGGGAGGGAAAGAGCCCGGCTCAAGGTCACACTATAAATTGGTGGCGGGGTCAGGATTCGAGGTCATTAGAACGCATCTAAGGCCCTGGAGCTTTGGGAAGGTGCAGGGTTGGCTTAGGAGAAGCAGAAGAAAGAGTGGGGCCTCTGCATCCGGCTAAGCGCCTCTGTGGCTCCCCGACAGGTGAGCAGCTGCGCAATGTGGGCCAGACCATCAGAACCCTCGGGATCACAGCTGGTTCTTCCTAGGTGGGCATCATGGAGTCTCTGGGACGGCGCGCAGGAGAGGATTCCTCAAACTCTCAAAGTTGGGCAACTCACAGACTTCCCAGAGGGTCCCTAGATCTGCGTCTCCAGTCTTCCCAAGTTTTTCCACCCGTGAAATTAAAACGATCAGGCGTCCCCAGCCTTGGACCACACCCTCGGCGGGGCCGGGGTTTCACCATCTCCCCCTCCCCCGCAGAGGCGCTGTCACCCCACGCCTGCATCTCAGGTTCCCTCCAGGGACACACCCAACCGCGACACTCCGGGGTGGCCGTACCCCAGCAGGGACCCAGCAAGCAAGATGCCGGTCCCCGGTCCCTGCAGCCATGGACTCTGTGCCCTGCAGCGACTCTGCACACTCACCGTGCGGGGGAGGCCTTAGGTCAGGGCGGACAGACGACGCAGCTCGAAGCCCGTTAGCCTAGCAGCAGCTGCAGCGCAGACTGGGCTCACCGTGGCAGGGGACACGTGGCATGTAGGGACCAATCGGGTTCGCTCGCTGCCCGCCCCGCCCCGCCCCGCCCCACCCCGAGTGCTTCACTTTTGGAGTCTGGGTGTCACCAGCTGCAGGGAAAGGGCGTGCGGGGGAGGGTGCTCTCCCGGGGTACCTGCCATCTCCTACCTGGGTCGGTTCAGGCTCAGACCTGATGCCTCCAGACGGAAGGAGACTCGGAAAATCAGAATTAAAGTCAAGCTAAAGTCCTGTTCCGTACACTTTGCTCCACATTCTTGCTACTTACGGAAGGTTTGTTGAGAAACCGAAAATTGAGGTTTGTCAGGATCCAAGTGAGACCTTCCCGGACTGATCAGATTTCACGCCTTTCGGCGCGGCGCTATCCGGTCACAGGCAGAGTCACTTACTTTGCAGGGAAGAAAAGCCCGGAGGAGACAGTGCTTCGCCCAGGGTCATACAGTTTGCAGATTGTGGAGCTGGGATTCCAACCCCGGGCAGGTGGCTCCCTTGGTCTTGGGGAGTGCGCTCTGGTCAAAGAGGGTCAGCCAAGGAGACCACGTTGTCACCCAGGTCTGTGTTTGGAAAAGCGGCCGTCTCTGGGAGTCCCTAGGAAACAGGTGGCCTGGCCTTAACAAGAGATGGCTCCCTGCTTGGTGGCCACAGAGCAGACAGCAAACTGTCCATAGGTTCTTCTCTGAGCTTCTTTAAGGCTCATCCTCAGGGGTCAGTGAGCTGGCTCAACAGACAAGGGTGCTTGCTGCCAAACCTGAGTTTGATCCCTGAGACCCACTCTGATAAAAAAAAAATGTAATTTGTAATGTTCTTAAAAAATATTATCCTCGGAATCTGTCACTAGTTCAGAGACTTACAAGCCTCTTCTTGAAAGGTCTGACTGGAAAACGTGTTCTCTGGCTTTCTATTTCACCCAGTGAGCATTGATTGAGTGCTTGCTGCAGCTAGAGCCAATAGAACAGATGGGTGCCGCAGCCCTGCCCCACCCTTGGGGACCTTCCAGTAGACAGGAGGTTTTGATGGCTTTTCCAGGAAGCCTGGGGCCTAAGGTAGAGGAAACACAGGAGGTGAAGCAGGTTGGGCAGTCTAACCTTCGGAATGGGAATGACAGAACTTTGGAGAAGAGCGAGCTCAAGTGAGAGACCAGCAGAGCCTGTGTCCCCACTGTGAGGCTGAAGCAGGAGAAGCCAGAGATCAGGGGGTCAAGGTCATCGTTGGCTTCACAACAATTTCAAGGCCAGCCTTGGCTACGTGAGACTCTGTCTCAAAAACTTGCAAAACCCGGCTGGGGGTTGTGACTCGGTCTGTAGAGTGTTTGGCAGGCACGGATTCCTGGTTGGATGGCCGGCACCATATAAAACTGGATTTAGTGATGCACACTTGTGATCCCAGTGCTCAAAAGATTAGAAGTTCAAGGCTATCCTCAACCACTTAGCAGGTAAAGAACAGCCTGGGCTATTTGAGACTCTCAGACAACCAAATAAATTAAATGTAAAGAAGATAATGGAAGAAGTGGTGGGGGAAGAAGACAGAAGAGGGCTGGCCCTGCCAAGATGGAGGTCAGTGGTCTCCTTGCACACAGTCATAGCTACTGACTTTTACTGAGCATTTTCCTTCAGTCACACGGTTATGAATTTGTGTGTACAGGTGTGTACATGCACTCACCTTTGAGCACGAGTGCTGCAGCATCTATGTAGAGGTCAGAGGACAACTTGCAGGACTTGGTTCTCTCAGGTTGTCAAGTTTGGGGACAAGCTTCTTTACCTGCCAGGTCATCCTGCCATCCCTGTACACCTTTTAATTATAATGTCATATCTAGTCCTAAAATCCATTGATTGGATATTTATATTTATTTATTCAGCATCTACTATGTGCCCAGCTCTAATTTCAGAAGCTTTATCACAAAAATAAGATGTCTGTTCTCATAGTCTGCATCCTGCATCCCAGCCCAGGGGAGATGGATACAGCATATCAATGACAACATGTGAGCCGGGACAAAAACCGTGGACAGGTGACATGTGCTAGGTGACAGATGCGAGCACTTAGTAGGGTGTTTATCAAAAGCTAAATCTGAGAGATTTGAGGAAGACGCAGAGGAGGTGAAGTCAGTAGGACCGAGCGGACACAAGCAGGAAAAAGTGGTGGGAATGGGACTACAGTGCCTGGAGACCAGAAGGGGTCCAGGGTGTAGAGGCAGCAAGAGGCAGAGACAGAGGAGGGATCAACTCCTGCAGGGCCTGGAGTCCTTAGGAGGCTGCTGCAGGATGTTGGGTAAGGGAGGGGCAAGGGTTGAGTGCACAGCTGTGTAAATGCTGCGTCTAACTCCACGCCGTTTCTTGACTTCAAAAAGCCAGTACCTTCTCAGCAGTCAGTCCCCATCTCTCCTGAACCCGTCCAAGGATGAGACGGGATCAATTTGCTTTTCCTCCTCAGTCCTACCTTGTCTTTTTTTTTCTTCTCCTCTCCTTTCACTTCCTCTCTCCTCCCCCATGTTTGGTCTTTTGAGACAAGGTCTTATGTGTTTGAGGCTGGCTGTGAACTAACTCCTGGTGTAGTTGAGAATGACCTTGAACTTGTCACCCCCAACTTCTCCCTCCCAAGTGCTGCTATTTACAATTGTGAACCCCCACACCTTACCCCCACCCTCACGGATTGGATTTCTGTCTCTATGGATTCTTTTATCCACTTTTACCCTTCGGGGTCCGATCTCATCTGGCATGTCTTACTTCATCTACCTTGTAGCACGTGTCAGTAGTTCCTTTTAATGGCTGATAATATTCTGTGTGGAAGTCTGCTGAATTTTGCATTCGGTTCATCGGCCCGTGGGAGTTAACTCATCTCAACTCTCTGGCTACTGTGATTGAGCCACTATTACAGCTGGGGACACTTACTTGAATGCCAGTGTGCGGATTCCCTCATGTGTTTACCTGGAAGTGAAACCAGCATGGCTGTGTGATAATATGGCTCTCCTCTCCTTGCGGCACTGGGCAATAAAGGCAGGACCTTATGTGTGCCAGGCAACTCTCTCTCTCCCCCTGAACTTCATTCCTCCATGTCGAGCTTGCTGAGGAATCACGGGTCTGATTTTCACAACGACTGCACCATCTTTACCATAGCAACGCACAGTGTTCAGATTTCTCCATATCTTTGCCAACGTGTGTGTATGCATGCACGCACGTGTGCACACACGCACGCGCGCACACACACGCTTTACTAGGAATAGAACCATGGGCCTGGTATGCTAGCCAATTACTCTAGTTAAAACTCCAGCCTAAGATTTGATTTATTTAGGTGTTTTTTGTTGTTTGACAGGGTCTCCTGTAGCCCAGGCTGGCCTTCGGTTGGCAACGTAGTTGAGGATGACTAGAACCCCAGATCTGCCTGCACTCCTTGGTGCTGGGATTACTGGTCCTCATCAGCACCGCCAAGCTTCCTTTGTGTGGATTGGGGATCCACGCCAGGTCTTCGCGCATACTAGGCAAGCACTCTACCAACCACTGAGATACATACCCCAGTCCAGATTTTCCCCTGTCTCTGATCATCACCATCAGTACACGTACAGGCTCTTAGGTCTTCATGGTGGGGCAAGGCAACACAATCTACACCTGTAATTCCAGCATTCAGGAAGTAGAAGTAGGACAGGCAGGAGTTCAAGGTCATCCTCAGCTAGTAGTGAGTTCAAGGCGCACCAGAGGGAGTGGTCAATTGGTGACCACTAGAAGACTGGAAGAGGCAGGGAGGGGTAATGACCCGAGAGATTTTGTAGAGAATGGTTTAGAGAGTACGAGTTTTCAAGGTCTCCCTGCTCAGCGTGGGCTGCCACTGTGTTGGCCTCCCAGACTCTGGGATGATAGGTGTGCGTTGCCACACCCCGGCAGTACTGATTATATTCTATTATAACTGACGGATTTGATTTTGTCTTTTGAGACAAAGTTTCCCGTATCTGAGGATGGCTTCAAACTCTCTGTAGCTAAGAATAACCCTAAATGCCTGATCCTCCTGCCCCTGCCTCCTCAGTGCTGGATTATAGGCCTGCACGGCCGTCGGCTTCATTTACTTTTCCTAAATTGCTGTACAGGTAATCAAAATAATCACTTTTACCTGTAGTCAGCTGAAGAGGCCGAGGCAGGATTAAGAGCCGGTTCCTTTGGCTGCATAGCTGGGGCCTTAATTCAGAGGCGGAAGCAACCAGCAAGACTGATGGCTAATTAACGGTTACCATTCCTTGGCGGAGGTCATTGTCTTTGCTTCTTGGAGTCAGTCCTGAGAAAACAATCTGAGATATGAGGAAAGCTTTGAGTGCAACTCTGTGCTTTTTTAAGTGTGAAGAGGAAACCCCCTCAGCCGTGGGACTGTAAGTAAGCAGGTGTCACGGCCTCCTCACAGTCTGATGGAAACAAACCCTGGAAGGAAGCAAGCATCCAGATGACATCACGCTTTTGGAACGCTCCAGGGCCCCTTTCTCCACGGACTGGCCTGTCCAAAGGGGTCTGTATGGGAGAGGGTGAGATGCCATGACTCAGACCAGAACAATGCACCGGGACTGGGGATTTTCTTTAACTCTCTTCTCTGGGCTTTAATTTACTGTTTATAGGACTATCTTTGGGCACGGCCTGGAGAAGCTGAAAGTGGACATATACTGCCACCTGCTGGCCAGTTGCTGGATGATGGCCAGGCAATGTGGTGCCTTCTTGCAGGCTCCCGGGAATCCTGTCTGAAATGCTCTCTTGCAAAGCCCTCAAGACCTCTCTCAGAGCCTGCATAAGAGTTAAGAACTTTAAAAAACAAAAAAAGGAGCATGGAACTGGAGGTGGGAAGGTGGGGAGATGGGGGTGGATCTGGAGCAGTTGGGGGTCAATATGATTAACATGCATTATATGAAATTCTCAAAGAATTAGTAAAATATAAAAATAATGACAATTGATTCTCTTTATAGTTCCTGACCATTTGGCATGAAGATTATTTCCTGCTATGGAATTTCACAATATGAAGACACCCACTTTGGAACAGGAGGTCAC